GAATCCCAGGGGCTATAAATGACTTTTTCTATACTGCAGTGCAATCATGTAATCATTGGACATCACAAACTGCTAGAAGCGGGTATCTAAGTTTATGTATTGAAACAGCATACAGAGCATTTGTCTCAAGACCAGATCGTGAAAAGCTTTGGGTATCACTTTGGATGTCCATTTTTCATTTTGGAATCACATGTAATAGTGAGATCGGAAATGTTTAGCTAAAGCTATACATAGACTACCTGATTGAACAGCTTGTGATCTCCACTGTTTACACGATTCACTGCAGCTTAGGAAAATCATTCCTTTTGACAGTATATGCATTGAATCAAACAGGTTTGTTGATCAAATACCTTCAATGCTCTTTGTCCAGGCTGAATGTAAACTATGCAATAATTATACTGGCCTGGGCCTGTGGAGCTGTTTTCAAAGCACATTATGCATACTTGAATAATTACTTGGTATGAATATATTGAACAAACTAATGTGTTTTTTAAAAGTACATCTGCCCTTCAACTGTTACATCAGTGCTTTGAGACCTGAGCTGTGCTTTTGCTATAGTTTTCTTATTGTTATGTTTTATTCACAACCTTTCTTCTTGAATCCCTGTTACATAAAGATCCAGTTTTGCTTTAATTATACTGATAAATCATAAGGGCCTTGTTTAATTCATGCAATGAAGGGATCATTTACTTGGTGAAGATGTTTACATATGACTCACAATTTTCAAGTATCTTTTAATGATGTTGCTTTATTGCCGTATGTTTTTTTTCTCTTTTTTTGTTTTTGTTGGGGGATGATTTGTACTCGCTACTCATGAGAATCTCTATTTACATATATAAATTTGCTTTCACGTGTCTTGACAATTATGCTCTTTTCATTCTGCTCTCGTTGAAGACCGGAAAGTGGAATCCTTTGCATGTAAGTTCAGTTACAGAATGTCAATTAATTTTACAGCTTTGGTCATTATATATAGGGGCCTATTTATATTATAACACAGTGTGCTGCAGTGCATTTTTAATGGGCTGTCAGTACACAAAAATTGGTCCTGAGCATATGCAACTGTGCTTTGCAGTGCCCTAAAACAGAGTTGTGCAGCAGTGCACTGAAGATGTGCATTGAGGCACAAAAAAATGTAAATGGATAAGCATATCATCAAGCAAAGACTTAAGGTAATTCACGTTATAACATGTATTAGAATGCATGTTATGCGTGAACACGCTCTACATCCTCATACTTAGCCTTTTTTCTGAAATTACCTTAGCACACACTTTCTAGAATTTTGTTAGCTTTTTGTTAGCTTCTGCTGTTTGAATGGCCATGTCTACCTTTATCATGGGTGAAGTTGGAGACATCGAAGATCTAGGATGCCTATGATTCATGGGAGGAAACTGGGCTATGACACCTGCAAGAAAAAGGAATTTAGAAAGCACCTGGGGAAGCACATTGAGAACCTCATACTGTAGAGAGGTGCACCTGTGTCACCTACCTGGTGAGAGACCGGAAGGTGAGGAGGCTTCCCTTGCGACTCGTGTCCCACCACCCCTGGGGTTGGGAACAGAGAGCGGATGGACAGCGAGGAGCACGAGTGCCACTGATGGGAACTGACACTGTGCAGAAGACGTCCTGTTAGTGGATAGTCAGTAAGCCAAAGGTCCAACCGGGCGGGCAGTGTGGGAACAGATTTGAGAGACTGAAGCATGGTCAGGAAAGCCAAAGCTCAGAGCCAGTCAGACGGCAAGATACAAAATCACGAGGCAGAAGGCAAAGAAAAGGAAACAGACCAATGTCAGGGGCAGGCAGCAATTGATATGGAGAAGTCCAAACAAAACCGGGTCAAGCAGGTAACAGGAATCCAACGAAGTACAGGCACACAGGAACACTAGCTGAAAGACCATCAGCAATGAGGTTAGGGCATGCTTGTTTTTATATGCCAAACAATCAGGGTATCGGCGTCATTTCCGATACGACGACCAGTGTGCGTGTTTTCGCTCAGTTCCGGTTTCCGCGTGCATGCACACTGTGGTATGTTTTCCGGGCACACGAAGACTTGGTTTTTGTGCGCATGCGCAGCCGCCATTTTACTCTTACAACCTGATAGCAGTACCATGCACATGGGCCACTGCCAATGGCAGCTTCTAGTCTGGACATGTTTAAGATACAACACCTGTTCCTGGTCAGTCAGTACATAGCCAGCCTAGTACCACAGCAGCACATAGGTGCAGATCTTTGACATGCACTTTTTGTCAAATCTCTGAGTTCAGCATGAAATGCATCAGAGCTTTATCTTGTATTCTGTGGTCGAAGAGCACAATCTTCTATTTTTCTTAACTTGGAAGTTCTAGTCTAAACAGTTGCATTTGGGGAGGTTTCATTTGGGTTTTAGGCATCCTCTGGGAGCCACTATTGAAAGCCTTTGTACAAGCCGGAGTTCAGACAGGGGCTGGTGTAACAGGGGTGACCTGGTGCTAGAGAAATAACTCCTTTTACCTTCAGATTCTGGTGCGGTAGTTGCGTTGGAGTTGCTTGATAATAAATTGTTTTTAAATTCAGCAAATATGAGCAGGCTGATAGTGTAATAGTAGTCGCAAATTTCCAACTAAACATTTTTAAAATGACTAAAAACAATATAGTTTCTGTTTGGAAAAATCAGGTTCCATATCTAAGTTACTATCTAAGTTACTATATATGTCACTTTATAATGAATTTGCCGAACTGATATTATCCTCAAATATATACAGAACACTATAAGCCATAAGTTTAAAAAAAAATAAACATTTGTAGGCAATGTAGATTTTTGGTAGAAGAAACTTTTATTCCTCTTCTGGCAAAAAAACAAAATTTGTCTTAGAAACCCAGTTATTTTTAATTTAAATTAAACAAATACATACCTTTTTGATATCATGGAGCTTCCTCCTGGACTGAGCAACATACATGAATGGCATGTGAGTACCCCTTAGTTTTAAAGTACTGTGAGCCCAGGCTGCATGATAATGCACCCCCAGGGTGGTGTGTTAGCAGCAAACTGGACTTACAGAATTATGTGAGTGTCCTTCTGTCCCAAGAGGACCGGCAGCATTTGACCATGGAGATTGCTGAAGGCAGTGTTGAATCGTGGAGAGGGTGAGAACAGCATGGGCACTTTTTCCCTTTATTACGGGAGGACAGGGGGACTTAAATATATATTTTTTAAAATTTATTGGAGTTATTCTCATTTGTCTCGTTGTCTGCTCCGTGCTATAACCATGCTATAGTGAAGAGAGTCAGCCGATCTAAATCTGCCGTTAGAATCTGCTGAATCTAACACAGGGAGTTTCAGTTTCCTGATCGCTGCTGTACTGAATGGTTTGCCCTGCCACCCCTTATGTCACTACTGTGTCCTGTGGATATGCAGGGATCGGCAGGAGGAGCCACAGAGCAGAGCAGAAAAGCAGAAATCCAACACTCCGGGAGGTATTTAAACCTGCTGAATCTTCACTCTATGGTTTCTTTTTAATACAGAAAAAAACAAGCAGGCGGCACACTCAGAAGGGGTGTATTAAATAGCCTTTATTTTACACATAATATTTTAGCATCAAAGATACTGTAATACTAAACTATCCAATAATTTTTACTGCAGGTGTCAAAGGATGACAGAAGTGATATTGAATCCAGTTCAGAAGACGAAGACTCACCGCCACGTGTGCAAAAACCTCACACCTCCAGCACCAATGGGGTGAACGGTACTAACGGAATGAATGGTTATCTCATGGCTGGAACCTCTTCAGATGAACATTAAACTGTCTTCAATGGATAAATAAACTGTTTGCTACTGGAACCATTTAGTCAATTGTGAATGACATTGCTCTGTAATATCTCTGCAACAGAATCCAGTATAGGAATATCAAGCATTTGAATAGTGCACTGTCATTTTTCTTTTTTTTTTTTTACATATATTTTTAAATTTGTGACTGATAGAAAAAAGCACTAGTCCATGTGCCTGTGAGCATGCTTTATGTTTTGGTAACTGCTGCAAATGAGTCAGTATTTTCTTATGCTTGAATGTTATTTATTTAATTTTTTAGTATTTGCTTTAAATTTCAAAGTGAAAAGTTTTATGATTTTAATATTTTTTTATTTATTTCTCAGTGATGACTGTGATCAAGTTCTATGATATTTTTATTGATTAAGACAGTGTTTATGATCATTGATATAATATGTGCACATAGCCAAAACACTTTACTGTGGAACGCTCCTGCCATTTTGACAGTGGTGCACACATGGTATCCATACATAAGGGGGAAGGATTAAGTGCTGAACAAATGTTTGTGATGTCTCTTCAAGTGATATATTCGTTGCTGGGGAAAGTTGTGGCTGGCCATATTTTTTGTCGGTTACACACACAAAAACAGTAACATGTCAAAACAAAATGTCTCTTTCACTGCCCTCCACTTGCACATTTTGACAAGTAGTCTTTGAAAACAGTGAGAATTGTCCACATCGAACAATCTTTCCTGCATAGGATATATAGGCCGCAGAGGCATTGTCTACAAAAATATATTGGCTTGAACTTCTTTAAAGTGACACTAAATTTAGGAGTTAAACCTTAGCAATGCATTCAGGTCCCTAACTACTGACAAAAATGTCTCTTATTTTTATATCACTCAGCTGTAGATCCTCAAATCGTCTCTGAATTGGTGCTGACACTGTCCTTCCTTCTGGAGAGTGGCTACTTTTGTTCTCCATGGTCCCTGTGTGTGTGTTGTAAAGTAGCCACCACTCCAAGCTCGCTACTGTGATGGACTACAATCTCATGTTAAGATTACTAATTTGTATTGAGATTGTAGTCCATCACAGGAGTGAGTTTGGAGAGGTGGGACCATGGGGAACAAAAGTAGCCGCCCTCCAGAAGGAAGGAGAGTGTCAAGACCAATTCAGAGATGATTTGAGGATCTACAGCAGAGTTATACACAAATAATCTACTTTTTTGTGAATAGTTAAGGTACTTGAATGCATTTTTCAGATTTATCTCCTGAGTTTAGTGTCATATAAAGATATTCTGCCACAACTAAACAATGGAGGAGTATGGTGAAGGGTGGGTAGTATAAGTGGTTGGAGGGTGGGTTTCTAAGTGAGTCTCTTTAAGGCTCTTCATTGATCTGACCAGAGATACCCCTGATGGCCTTAACAACATAAGGGACCGTAGTATTTTCTTTACTACTTCAAGCACAGTTGTGTATTAAGCTTCTTGTCAATACAGCAATTGGAATGGAAGACTATGAAAAGATCACCATGTTTTATTTTCTGTTTACCATTCTTATACAGAAAAAAATACTGAGAAAATTAATAACACAAAATTTCCCATTATCGTCTTTTCTGCAATAATAGAAAATCACCAACATGCACAAAATAGTGGGTGTGCATGTTCTGTGAAGAGAAGATTATCAGACGGTGTGAGCAATAGTTTCTGCTGGCATCCATGTATGGTCAGCTTTAAGGTACACTCAAATATTGAAAATAAAAGATTTGCAATGCAACACACTCCACCAGCTCAGGGTTTTGTTTTTTTATCTAGGCATCACTGTAATTCACCAATCCACTCCACTACCTTTTATCACACTTTGCTCACCAACAGAAAGTCTGAAATAACAAAGTGTCAGAACTAATAATTTTGAACCAATTTAAGTTTACATCTGACTGACGATACAGCAGACTGTGCAGAAGTTACACAGCACAGGCTTCAGGAAGTACCCTCCCTTTGAACATGTTAGCAGCTGTGTGAAGTCTGGAGAAAGTAGACTTAGATTAGGGTATATTAAGTGGAGTTTCTGACTTTACCTTAGTCAAAGTGTTTGTTGGGTAGAATTGTATCTACCTTGATTGTTTCACTTAAAGGGACGTCCTATATGGTGAAGTTTTTGGTTTCTATTTGTTTCTTTGGTGCCTCTACACAGTATTGCACACTACATGTACAATATATGTGCCCCTGCACCTAAATTACATTTTCAATAAGTCTTTCTTAGATAGAGATGGACAGGCTGAGAATGTCCATCTGTATAAAAATATCAGATCAAAGAAAAACAACTACACATAGTTCTGATGGTCATTAGCGGTTTTATGAGAGTATCCAAGAACATAACACCCATACTACTCTAGGGCCATACACAGGTCTAGATTGTGGCCGCTGGAAGCTACAAGGAAGCATTAATGAGGACCGGAGGTTTATATGCCAGTTTGTATTCACAAATTTAAAAAAATAATATTACAAATTAGTTAATAAAATTTTTGAATATGTAAGAGAACTCTCCAGGAGTTTTGCAAAGACTAAAGAGACTTTGAATTTTGAAAAGTTCTAAGTATTTTTGCACAGCTGACCTCCTGTTAGTTACAGGACACAATTAGCATGCACACTGAAAACAATGGACTTTCTGTATGAAAATGGTATAGATGGATTGATATAATGGAGTAGAGTAAAAGCAGGGGCCTTGCTTATAGCAACTTATCAGGTCCAATGTGCCATTTCACAAAGAAAATTATGGAAAAGCCACATAGGCACAGGACTAGGGCGGCAGAATTGTGGGAATTGGGGCATTGCCCTTTTTTTCATTACCGGTTTAAATGATCTTGTGTGAGGCAGCAAATATGAAACATTAACAAATACATGTTGCATTGCTTGTAGTTGTGCATAATTGATTTATATGGGATTTATTTAACTTTACAGTCACAACGATCTATGGCCTTTAGGTGGACCAATAAAAGTGGTCCATTGTGGTATAGTATAAAATCCAGCTTAGAACAAAACCTCTATTCATCATGCTTAGCAGATTTAAAACTAACCTGTGCCTTGCCCATACAAGGCAAATCAACCAGCCCCATCAGCAGCCCATACTCACCTTTTCTTTTCTTCCCATCTGCTCTGTTAAGGAAGCAAAGAGAAATTCCCAGAACGTCCAGGTATGGGAGAGCCTGTTATTCCTCCCATGTGACAGCACCAATGCTTAGCGACAGGCCACTCAGGAACCTAGCACTGTCAAGTGAAGTCGGGGAGAGTGTCCTAAGCCCTGTGTAAGCTCCTAGTTGTAGCTTGGAGCTTACACAGGGCTAGCTTGAGGAGAGCAAGTGGATGGGAAAAGCACAGACTCACCTAAGGTATACCTGTGGGCTGGTTCATGCTTGTAAACTAGATGATAATTAGGGAAACTCTAAGTGTCTGAGTGTTTTGTTCTTACCCTAGTGCTCTGAGGCCCCCTAAACCCAAGGTGCTCTGTTATGTATTATGCCTTATATAATAGTGACAAAAAGTTCCCTCTCATACTCCCATATATTGCCTCCCCATTGGCTCGTTCATCGGGCAGTCTGTCACAATAAATGGCCAATTGTGAGGCAACGTGTGCAGGAGGAAGTGAAACACAGCATAGTCACTACGGTCACTATTTGCATAATACTGCATCCTAGGTTCTGGGGGACTCAGAAAAGAAATGTGTGCAGGCACCTCAAGATACTTTCTGTATCATCTTTCATCCACCCCACAGTCTTGCTTTAAGAAGGCCCTTCAGTATGCATTTGTCAGTTATGCCAAATTTGTCTTATAATTCAACTCAATGTGCAGTGATGATGTGTCACATGTAGCACGCTATAGAGACCAAATGGATCTGAGTTTACTTTGGGCAGGTCAGTTGCTGATTTTTGCATGCTATTGATTACTTCACTTTGAAAATCTTTCATTCTACATTCCAATCCCTACTGAATAAGACTGAATATGATAGTCATTTGGTTTTCTGTATAACTTTTCATTAGCCTTACAGTCCAGAGCCACTGCTATGCAGATAATTCTATCAAACACATCAGAACACATATTTCCGGCATACAGTATTTCTCCGTTTTGGGTAGAATGTGAGATGGTTCTCTGCCAAGTCTTAAACATTGTTTGGGGACCCTTAAGATCTCCCCTGCTTCCTACAAAGTTATAAAGAGCTGGGCTCTGCCTTTTTAAGCTAAGCTACTCATGTCACAGGATTATGTGGATTTTCCATATATTCTTATGGGAAATCCACCTACGGGTGCAGCCCAAAGAAATAATTAAAGACCATACAATGCTCCCTAATACTGAAAACTGACCTGCTCTACAACAACTCCATAGTAAATCATCAGAAACAAACTTTGTATGAACTTTAAGTTGTATCCTGCTTTGGTTGCTAGGGGTAACTGCACAGTATTACTTGGTATTAGGAAAAAAGTGATTGTGTTTTGTTTTTTTGGATCAGCACTTGTTTTGAAAGCAGTATTTTGTTCAACTTCCTCTCCTCAAGAGATGCTTCTGTTTGATGCTATTAATGATCATTTTAGTGCACATGCTGCTTGCAAGAGAAGTCAAAAATCGGTTGTGTATGGTCCAGTAATCTACACATTGGGTATTCAAAGTGTCTGATGTCATTCATTATTTCTTATAGCAATAAGATATTGTATTATATTGTACCAATAATGTAAAACTCAGGGGTAATAATGGCATTATCTGCTGAAAGATTCCCCCAAGCAGTATGTATAGGAGTGACTAATAAAAAGAAGTGCTCCTGTTTCAGGCTTCTCTGATATTCTTTTTATTTCTATCCACATCATCACAATGCTGTATTTTGCAAAGACAATCAACTGGGATTAGATGTTAAAAGTTTAGGTTCTATTAAAGCTTTCACAGTACATTTCCAGTGAATGTTCACTTCCAGTTTACAGGTTATACACATACAGCAAATCAAATTCTAAAGTAAAATGTTTATGGTTTTAAATGGACAGGGAAAAGAGCACTACTTTAAAGTGCATTTCTAGTAGGTAAAATTGCAGGTCCACTGTTTTGCCCCTTCTGCTAATACTCACCTCTGTTCACTCCATGTTCTCCCTGCTCCAAGTGGCTCTGATCAGAGCTTACACAGGACCTTCTTTCTACCCCCATCTAACAGCACTTAGGTCAACTTGGCCACCCAATTGGCTAATTGGGCACCCAGCATTGCATTATGGGAGCATGGGGAGGGTCACATTTCTAAACGATTGGATAACTCACTTCTCTCCGGTGGCTTAACAGGGCCTCACCTGCCATAATGGAATAAAAAGCTGTCAGCTTCAAGTCTGAAGCTGACAGCTTTTTCTCCATTCAGACCAGCTTCTAACAGGTTACACAGCGGGGAAAGCCTAACACAGTGAGGTCAGAGCTAAACAAGCCTCTAACTTGGAGTCAGAGGCTTGAGCTTTGTGGATGGTTTGGACCAATGGCAAAGCACCATTGGTCCAAGCTGCCCAATCAAAAATCCAAGCTGTCCAATCTAGATGCCTCATCAGTGACAAGCGAGTGTAGGACAGGGAGGCTCCTCCCTGTTTCCTCCCTTTCTTCTCCCACTTCCCACAAGCAGAGCAGAGTCACAGCGTTGGGGACCGCTCTGCAACGAGCTCGGCTTCACCTGCCACTGACCTCACTGCACATCCCTGCCCCATAGGAAGATTTTTATCTGTTCCTGTAATCAATACAAACAGAGAGGGCTTCTAATCCCATTCTACTCTACTTTTTAAATGTATTTTGAAATGACTTTTAATTACTCTCCCATATTAAATAACAGTCAGATTGTAGGCATGCCATTTGAACAGCAGAAATGCCCATGCCATCCTGAAAGATGGGCTCAATTAATTGTATTATCTAATAACACTCAACTCTGACACATTCATAACCCTCATATGTAATGATGTCCCTGGCTTGAAGTTCACTCGTACATATTTGATGCTACATCTTTGATATTTCAAGTTGGGAGTCTTTTCAGGTTATTGAAAAGTGTGATTTCAAAGTTTAACAATGTGAATGTAAATCTGTTTCATTACAGCTCTGAAGTATTTTGTCCTTGTGAGGACAATACAGCGATACTTAGTAACTGCGGCACAGAAAGTAATCCAAGCAGCTAACAGCCACAAATAAGCATAATAGTCCGCATTCACAGAAAGAGCTGACGTGTGTACAGGATTTCATAGCACAGGGGAGCTGATGTATAAACACTCCAGCGCAAAAACTAGGAAAATGCTGTGTCGCACAATACAGCCACTAGATGGCACCAAGGGGCAAATTTCTACGCTCCTCTGCACCATCTAGTGGCGGTAATGCCAAGCAAATGGCATTTACTCAGCTTTACCCTGGGCAGAAGGTTTATGCATCAGCCCCAAGGAGTTAATTAAAGAAAAACGGTTTGGACGTCTCATTCTACAAATGCTAGTTGCCTGGCTTCATAAGTTTTAGTCACTGGTCCAGAACAAGTTCCTGGCTTCTCTCTGACTTTCCTGCTAATGAATACTTTTTCTGGGCCAGCGACTCAGGAATTATTAAAAACATTGGCTCAGCAGAACAGCCAAGACAAAAAAAATTTCAGAAGGAGGCCAGTAATCGTAGCTTCCATATTATTTTCTGAGAGGGGAACTTTAAAGACAAAGTCTGGCCTACAAATGATTTATTATAAAAATATATTCATGTATTTTAATAACATTAATAATTATACATTTAAAAAAAAATAGCTCTTGCTAAAATATTGGCCTCCCTTTTGTCCCTGTCCCACGCAGTACCTCTTCTTAGTCACAAGATGTCCTCAGGCTTGAATTAATTTGAATGATGCCCTGCGTCATTTAACCCAAAAGACTGAGAATATATAGTAAACTCCCTATTATCCAGCATTCAAGCAACCAGAACTCTCAAGGAACCAAAAAAAAAATCGAAGACATATGTACTCAATTTATTTTGCCAGTTGCTTTATAGGCGTGCACATTAAAAAACTTTTTTTACAACTAAATTTATTTTATTGCTAATGAAAGTCTCTGTTTTCATCTTGCTGCGGGCCGATGTCTAGAATCCGCAGCTGTCAGGTGAATGTAAATAACGGCCAGTGGGCGTGTGCAATAGCCAGCCTGCTATTGGCCATGGCAATTTTAAATAGCCAATAGCAGAATCTAGCCAGCAGATGAATAGAACAAAGGTTGTTGCTTGAGAGTTATTAGTAACTCTCAAGCAACCAGAAACTACAGTTATCCGACATCTTACAATCCCCATGGGTACTGGATAACTGGGAGTTTACTGCACTGTGAATGCAGGCACCATTGACAAGACCCCAGTAGAAGGTACAAAGAGGAGGAGGATTTAGTGTGCCACATTACCGTCAGAGTCCTACTTTGTATAAACCAACGTTATCATGTACGGCACAGGTGATAGCCAGCAAGCCTTAAGCAGATGTATGCAGTATAAAATAAATGGTTCTATGATATTAGGCTGTATCTACAGTATATTATACACTAGCAGTTCCGGGTATGCCATGTGGATGCGAAGAAATGGTTTTTGAGGCTTCACCCTGGGCCACCGATAGGAAGGCAGAGCCAGCCCTCTTGTACTGGGCCCCATCAGTTCACCAGGGGGGCTCGACGGCAGATAGAGGACTCTTTAATGAGCTTTGGGTGAAGACTGAGTAATCCCGTCGCCCACAGCTACCAACACGTTAAAGAAGAACTCTGGGTAATTTTTAAATTAACCCTTGCAGTGGGGCTACCCCCTACCCACTGCAAGGATTAACTGCTCATTTTGGTCTGCAGCTGAAAACAACAAAGTCATACTCACCAGATAATCGGAGCCGGCTTGCTCTTAGACCGGTCCCTGGAGCCTCTCTCCCCCTCCGCTCCAGAGGTCTAAGGTCCCATAAATCATCAGGTCCAATACACTATGTATTAGACGTGAGGACGCCGAGGGACATTCCATTGCTGCAGCTGACTCAGAGGATCAGTTCAGCCCTAGATCAAAGCGAGCAGTTAACTCTTTCAATGTGGGAGTAGCCCCACTGCAAGGGTTAATAAAAAAAATGCTTTAACAAAATGTCTCTGGGCCCCATCAGTTTAGCTGCGGGGAGTGCAAACAGAGAGGGGGCTATCTGACCATCATCTTCTTGCTTCCTTGGGGGCGGTGATTATTATTGCTGCCTGGGGGTGCCATTGCAGACCCTGACACTCTAACTGGGCGGTTATTGGGGGCCCAGTCAGGTAGGCTCTATGGGACCCCATGATTTCTATTAGTGGACCTGGCTCCACCCACTGTCCTGATATGAGGAATAATTCTCTTATTTTTGGAATGAGACATGTGAACACCTTCTGTTCTAAAAAAGTATTTTATGTGCTACAGAAAGGTAAAAAGAGAGACAGAGGTCCAGCTAAAAAACAGCCAACATACGAGGTAGAACATGTGTACAGCAAAGGGATACAAGTGGAAATGTCTATCACTGAGAGAAGAATAAAAAAACAAACAGACATATTTCATTGGGAATACTGTATTTATTGCTGAAAACTTTTTTTTTTTTTTAGAGGTGGAATAACACCTTTAGACAAGCCCTATAGTTTATCAGGTAGAAGAGGACTAAAGTCCAGCTATGACTTGGCTCTGTTACAATTAGTTTATAATAAGTTACTCTTTACTTCACAAAGCACACATTGGTTATCCCGAAGCCCAGATGCCTGACAGCAAGCGATAAACACCGCCTATCAAAATCCTAGCATGCCCATTGTAAAGAGGCTGTTTATTTGCAGAAATATTTTTATTATGCCTCTTCGCCGATATTATCGACGTTTCTGCCACCACGTGACCGATATGTAATAACTCCCAGAATCCGCTGCTCCTTCCTGGCCTCACCCTGGCAGTCTGGCATCATGGATCAGATACACCGTTTCAAAACTCGGGATCCACTTGCAGGATCTGCAGTAAGTACACAAATGTTTCTTTTTTTTTTATTCTACAGGAAACACCAATGGCCAAAATTGTGTCTGCTACACCGGCCATGTCTTTAATAGTGTATTTGCTTTGTTGTGCTGGTCTTGAGTAACATAATCTATCTGATGCCATTATTCTTGTTCATTATCAGCGATTATTGATGATTTTAATTATTGGAGTACGCGACATACAATGCATAATTGAGAACTTAAAGATTTGTAGAAAATAATTAGCTCTTGAAAGTTAATTATGCTGTTCAAATATGTCACAATCCATACCTTCAACTGAGGCTCATATTAATGATTTCCAGATTTCTTTATATTAAGAAAAGAATCGTAGTTTATAAGAAGCATACGTGGTCTGCTTAAATAATGTCACCTTAGCTTTGGGTGATGTCACACAGGCATTGTAATGTTGCAGTATTTCTAATTCAAACATGGGGTGCCCTAAAAGAGTGTGTGTGCCTTAAAGGAATTGTGAAGTCCCAGCATATCCTCTCCTGTTATAACATCAGCATTGTAATAGGAATACATACTAGAGTTGTTTTTGATAATTCAATCAAAGCTTGCTTGAAAAAAAATCCTTTTATATACCGTAGTGAGTGCTGCCCATCACTCTCCACAACTTCCTGGATTTGCATTGCTTTGCATCTCTTTCCCTGGTGTTTGATGTGATGTCATTTTGCTTTCTCAAGACTATGGGGGTTATTCACAAAAGGGTGAAGAGTTTGGAGAAGGAAGGAGAATTGAACAATTTCTCAAGACAACATAGCCCATCATGCATTGCTTCCAGCAAGCAATGATAATGTTAAATTGTTGCATCTCTTTCCCTGCTGCTTGATGTCATGCAATCTCGATTTCTCAAGACTACATAGCCTATTATGTATTGCTTCCAGCAAGCAATGATAATGTTACATTGTTGCATCTCCTTCCCTGCTGCTTGATGTCATGCAATCTTGATTTCCCAAGACTAGATAGCCCATCATGCATTGCTTCCAGCAAGCAATGATAATATTACATTGTTCAGACGCTGAGTTGCAGTTCAGAAGGCAGGCTTTGGGCATCTTCAATGAGTAAGTTTACAATCTTCTAGATCCATATAGTAATTAGAAGTGGGATAGAATGTATGGAAATTCAGTATAGAAATACATATTTATTTTTCGTTTTTGACCATAGATACCCCTTATCATCGAATAGCTCTGCCACTCTTATTCAAGCAAAACATTCCTAAGAGAAATTTGGGGTTCACCATTAATAGCCTCCTGAAAATGCAAATTGACTTGCTCTTATGCTGACCTACGGCTGACCATACTTTCTGAGTTAGTGACCCAGGAAAGATGCGCAGATCAGTAAAGTCAGAGTAATATCAGTCATTATAAAGTCATTATCTGCATATTTGTTCTGGATTAGTTTTGAAGTCAAAGCATCAGGATGGCAGCCAGTCAACTAGCATTTGCAGAATGGTTGCTCAAAAAATGCTGCCTTCATACTTCTGTGAAGGTTTCACAAGGAGCGCAAACAGGCAATGACAGTAGAAAGTACCTCTATAATGTGCAAGAAACAGTAATGTTAATCGGCTGCTCCAGTTTGCACTTCATTATGAAGAGCCACCCAAAATCGATATTTCAGTATTTAGTGAATGCGGTCTCATATATCTTTCAAGCAGTGAGATCTGCATCTAAGTTCCTCCTAAATCTGCACATCAGAGAGCTAATCGCCTTGTCAGATTTCATTGGAAGGGAGCAGAGCTGGGAGATTTTATCTCTGGAATCTGCAGTCTGTAATCCAAACTGTAGTGTTGCTGCAGATTTACAGCAGTGGTTGTCAATATACGAGGTACAGGGGGTGTCACATACGGCCCCTGATGTCAGCAAAGGGCCACATATAATATCCATTGAATGTATTGCAAGAGAGTATGTCATAGACTGAAGATTTAACAGAGAAAATGGTCAAACACAGCCAGCTGAAGACTGACGAGTTAATAGAGGAAATGTTCAAAGACAAGAGTGGTTAGAGAGTAGAATCATTCTGTAGGTGACAGTCAGAGACTGGGGACTAGACATGTAATCCGGCAACAAATTTGTTTAGTAGGATCGACTCCGATTTTTATTTCTTTCATTTTTCGTATCTCAAATTTGATTGGTCACGCTATTCGGATTTTGGATCCGTCTAAATTTTTGTTTCAGAAAGATCCTCAACAGGAAGTCACATGACCTTGCCTGTAATGCAACTCCCAACAGCCAAAAAACATCTGATTGGCCAGAGAACAGTCACATGTCCGATTTAGTTTGGTTTTGAACGGAATTCGGACAGATCCGCTGCTTACTGCTGGAGCCCGAGGGGCACACTGCCAACACTAAAGCACCCAATATGGCCCTCAGGCCACAGGCTGGTCACCACTAATGATTTAAAAAGTATTTACTACTGACCAATAGAGCACTAAAGCTGTTTAAAACAAGCCCCAAGTTATCCTTCCGGCAACATTTCAAACAGAAGAAGGGTGGTCTGCATCCCGGGATGGAAATCAATAATTTATAGTTCTTTTATGCTAACAATAACCAAACATTCTCTGCAGAACAACTGACATTCACATGATTTACTGAGGTTTGTTTTTGTTTATTTATCAAAATAAATCAAGGCAACTGTACTTGATGTATTGTTCTTGAACATGTTTTGCTGGTCATCCGACTAGCTTTCTCAATTCTGAATTGAGAAAGCTAGCCAGATGACCTGCGAAACATCTTCAGGAAAAATACAGCAAGTACAGTTGCCTTGATTTATTTTTTACAGATATTCCATGACCTTGATGAATGAGAATTTTCACAGCGTAGTATACCAGTAAGTCCCCCTGCACTCCTTGCAGCGTCTCAGACCAAATGACAATGGTGGTGCTTGTAGTGATAACCACGGATGGCGCCGTGTGCATCAAGCAGTAGAAAGTGAAGATCACCAGCACTCAAAGGATGACGTTCATATCATAATGTCCGTTTATTCAGATAAATTGTCACATACTGTATATGACAATAGCCAACGTTTCGGGGTTACACAGGGTCCCTTCATCAGGGCAATAAAGTGATGATATATGTGACGATTTATCTGAATAAATGGACATTATGATTTGAACGTCATCCTGTGTGCTGGTAATCCTCACTTTCTACTGAGAATTTTCACAGACATTTTGTTTCTGTTTGGTATTTTGCTAAACTCTTGGCCTACGGCCAGTCAAGCTGGGGTGTACCAAAGCTAGCCGTACATATAAAGATCCTACATGCATTAACATAGCCATAGCAGGGCAGGCCACAACAGGTGGTGAGACACTTGCCCATTATTTGAGGTTCCAGCGTTGCCATTGTTAATTGTTTGAATTGTACACTGTAAAGGTATAATGCACACCCTCCATCTCAATTCATCAAAAAGAGCTACAGAATGGGCAGGATATAGCTTTTCATGAGTGATGAGGGATCTCATAATATAAACCCTTGTTATCATCTCCCAGGTGTACCCCTAAATCCCCTAATCCTTGCCTTAGTATCTTATCTGAAAGAAAGGGGGTGAAGGGGGAGTTAAAAATTAATTTTAACATTTGGTTGCTTTAGCAGCATGGATTCTTGTCTTCTAGTTTGCATACATGACATTCTTTGCCAGGTAAATGACTCCAGCACCCAGTGATAAAACATCATTACTAAGTACTCTGTGATTTTACTGCTGCTGTTCCTGAAATAGATTTTGCTGAAAAGGATTATTTGTCTTTGTCAGTATGGAAAAGTATATCAAGACCTCAAGAACATTTCTAAAAATGGAGAAAACTTCTGCAAGACTCTCATGTCTGTTCTACAACAAAGGTAGGTATCAGACTGCTATTCTTTACAGTGAGGCACACAAAATTGGGTTTATTTAAAGTCTATGCAAACCCTAACAATGAACTTCTCTTGTTTAATTACTTTTGGTCTGTTAAATATAGGACTGCAACTAACGATTATTTTCATAGCATTGCAGTACCATGCGTTCCAGTGCAGGTGATCACACTGCGGGCGGGAGGGGCATTTGGGATGCCATTGAAATTAATGGCACCACAATGCACATCCCGGAGCAGAATGTTTGAGGCCGAAACCAAAAATTACTCTTGCCTATTTATTTATATATTTATTATAAAAGACCGGTCATCAGTTTAGAGTAACACCTGTAGCCATAAATATTGGCCCGGAAATTATTGCTCTCACTCTGGCACACGCGGCGATACCTGACATGTGTAGCGCAATCGTTGTTTTGCTACATAGGTGCACCCAAATGTGTTTCCTTTAGTATGCACGCATTTGCGGGGTTGGGGGACATTTGGAAAGGGGAGGGGGGTATTTACATTTTATTTGATTTAACTTTATTTTTTAACATTTTTATTTTTACCTTATTGCTATCACATCTAGGGGCTCACAAGCCCCCTATGTTAAAGTACATTGGAGGTGACAGGTTCTCTTTAAGGTGACATTAGTGTCACCTTTTACACTTTACTGGGAATGACAGCTGCTTGCTGAGGGATCTGAATGTCAGCACAGCAGGCAGTAGCTGGGAGCAATAGCCAGTCTGCTATTGGCTATTTTAAATTGCAGTAGCCAATAACAGGCTGGCTATTGTACCCGCCCATTGCCTGCTGTCAATCAGCAGAGAAGGGAACTGAAGGAGAAAGTTCTCCTTCAGGTCCTCCTCTGCTGATTGACAGCAGGCAGTGGGTGGGTGTAATATCCAGCCTGCTATTGGCTATTGCAATTTAAAATAACCAAT